CTCCTTTCCAAAAGCGGTGGGGGGAGGCAAAACCCGCCCGGTCCTGGGCCTTGCCCCCTGCCCCCCACCTTTGAGATTTGGTGCTTGAGGTCGCCGAGTTACCGAACCAGTTGCCCCAGTTTGCCAGACCAGCCAGTGGACGCCCCTTCCCCGCTCGTTACCTGCAGGTCTTCGTGTGCTCCCTGTCCCTGCAGGGTCTGGGTGCCGTGGGGCTCCCCTCGGCTTTGGGCGGTTCTCGTGGAGCGAAGCGCGCTGGCACAGGACTGCTGATGCCGGGGTAGGCTTACAGCCCGCTTGGGGTCGGGGCCCTTTGGTGGCATAAAAGTAGGGCCAGACCGATGTGCCATCTTCCCTCAAAAATCCTTGGGTCAAAATGCGGTTGATTCCATGGGTGTTTCAGGTTTTCGTGGAAATATTTTCTTATGATTCAACCTTTACTCACTGGTGTAGTCTCTGGTGAAGAGGTTACCAGAGGCACATGCTGGGTTGGGCCTTTCTCCCCTGATGGAACAGGTACCCTTTACATTAGTGCGTTAGCATTTTTTTTTTCTCCTGGAAAATTCTTAAGCCTTTAACCTTGTAGCTTATTGCCATGTAGTCGTAAAGCTGTGTTTTTCCTGCTAGAAATTTCTCACAAGAACTTGTCTCCCTGACATGATCCACTTACTGTTTTTCGCTTGTCAAGCGCAGGCTTGTTTTTCAATAAAAATAAAAGCAAAGAGCTAATTCTGAAATCCGTAGTCAGACAAAGCTTGCGCTGAAATCAAGAGGAGTCTTGTCTCGGTGTAAAAATTGCAGGTTCAGGATCAAAATCATTGTAACAAAACATTGTCACAGGAGCAACATCTCCCACTTTGAAAATAAACATCTTTGCTCCAGTTAGGTATTTATGTAGCAACAGGAGACTATTGATTTAGGAAAGCTTTCTGGTGCCCAGATACTCTAAACCCTTAGTGCTACTGTGAAGCAGCAAAGCTCGGGAGGAGCAGGTTACAAAAGAAGGGTAACGCAAACCTCTGCGCGCTTCTGCTCCTGGTGATACTCGGGTAAAGCCTCTGGCTCACCTTCACCTGGAACACCCCTTTGCCAGCTCTTCTCCGTATCCCTTGGCCAGATGTTCCCTTGGCCAGGTTGCAGAGCTGACAGCAGTAAACATCTGCCCGTGGTGGAGGCATGGGGCTTCGTAGCTTGGCAAAGGCATTGAAGAGGAAGGGCTGCATCCCTGCTTGAGTGTGATACCCCTGTAGCTTCTCCCCGCTGACCTCTTACAAGAGGGACAACAGAAGTTTTGGTAATTGTACCCAGTTAAGAACTGATCTACCTATTCATCAGCAGCACAGATCAATGAAGGGGGGAGGGGGGGGTAAGAGAAAGCACGCGCAAACAGCCTGAATCAAACAGGGGAAGATTTGTCATCATATTTGTATAAATTTCCAGAATTTCTGTAGTAATGTAGTCATCCCATGATACTTACAGTAGAAGAAAACTTGTGGAGTTATTTTTGAACAAAAGTGTCCAAGTGGTTACGGTACATAAAACAGAGAATCGAAAATCTTTAAACAGTGCTAGAAAGTGTTTCCAAAGAGTCGACTCTAATCCCAATAAATAACAAGGCTACAAGTAACAGGAGCTGATGACTTTTGAGTCTTGCAACTTATAGTATGTAAAGAAGAACTAGTTGAGAGAGTTGGGGTTGTTCAGCCTGGAGAAGAGAAGTCTGTGGGGAGACCTTAGAACAGCCTTCCAGTACCTGAAGGGGCCCACAAGGAAGCTGGAGAGGGACTTTTTACAAGGGTAGGTAGCGATAGGACAAAGGGTAATGGCTTTAAACTGAAAGAGAATAGATTTAGATTAGATAGAAGGAAGAGATTCTTTACTCTGAGGGTGGTGAGACACTGGGACAGGTTGCCCAGAGAAGCTGTGGATTCCCCCTCCCTGGCAGTGTTCAGGGCCAGGTTGGACAGGGCTTGGAGCAACCTGGTCTAGTGAAAGGTGTCCCTGCCCATGGCAGGGGCGTTGGAACTAGGTGGTCTATAAGGTCACTTCCAACCCAAACCATTCTATGATCCTATGATTCTTGTTGCCCAGTAGGGTACATTTCTAGGAATTAGGTTGGTGACTTCAGTGGGAAAAGAGCTGGGCTTGAAAATGTGTTAGAACTATTTTTATGGGAGAGGACAAAGTCTTTCCCACTGCTTCTGCCATAGAGGTCTCCTTACAAGTTGTATAAAAGAATAAAGTGTTTTAATAAGTAATGGTCACCAGAAACCAGTCTGTTTGGCCCCTCACCAGAAGACATTTCTATTCTAACAAGAAATAGATAAACTTGAGTCCGTGTGCAAACGAGTGAAAAAAGGCGAGTATGGTATTTCCTCACTAATGCCAGCAAATTTTAATGTAAAAGAAGCTGAAACAACACTTGACTCAGAGAAAATCTAAGTTGCTCAGCCTGTAATCTATTTAACATAAATAACTGCCATAGCTGTGGTGAATAGGGCAGTTGATCAGAAGTCTCAGTATGGAGGCTTGGAAGTCATGGTATGAAATCTATTCATCTTACATCCCACATCCCGAAAAATGGCAATATCTGGGTCTGGTGTTCTGAGAAATGTCAATATGGCATAACTCCGTTTAGTGGCCCATTTACGTAGAGACTAGCTCGCTGCTGAAGTGTAAAATACGGTTCTGGCATAGTTGGAGGATACAAAAAGAAGTTGCACACACTGGATCTGTAGATCATCTTTTAGCGAGATAATATTGCCTTGCACTGCCACGTCTATTTAAGTCCAAGATACTTGTGACCATAAACTAAGTGTAGACAGAACGGGGCCCTGAGCTTACCTGAGAAGTCAAGACGTAACACAAATGATTTCCCCGCCTAGTATCCGCATGGAGCCACGTG